ACCCATGTGTGCACCTTACTCTAGTACCACTTGGGTAGGAAGAAGCAAAGAGTGTAGATGTCCTCCTTTTTCTCTGAGCTGCTTCTGTCTTATTGTTCCTCACGATTACCTAAGCCATATCTTTGAATTTTATGCCAAATAAATATACCAAGCACAATACCTTCTTGTAATTGTCATCCTTTAATCTCATCCTTAGACACATTACCATAGTCTCAGTTACTTACTTTCTTCAACGCAACCATTGTCATAATTGGGAATATATATTACCCATATAGATTGTCCTTTCAGTATTTGGGATTTTCAATTCTTTGAATTTTTCTCCTCTAATTATCTTACTTTCCACCCACATCAGCTACTTGCTCTATTAAGCATGACCTCAATTTTAAGCAATACTCTTTATTTATCATTTTTATTCTTTCCATTCAGATAATTCTTTCTAGTACCCCAATTCCAGCAATCATTTTATATCATCTATACCTAGTATTCATTGATTTTATCATGTTTTTTTCTGACTCCTGTCCCTCAAGAATGGACTACCTTCTGTTTCAAATTTAAATATCATGAACAGTTACTATAATCATTCTAAACTCCCTGACCCTTTCTTGCTTCATCATATTCACTTATCAAAATTATAGGCTTCCTTAATTGCAAATTGCCCCCTATAACTTAATGCTGCTGAAGAGAAACACCACCACACTGAATGGTTTCACTTTAAATGCAGGATCATAATCCTAAAGCAAACCTTTAATACTATCTAACAATTACACTAGAATTTTTTCCTAGTCCATTCACCTTTCAGCTCTCTTAGATCGTTAATCATGTAATTTCCCTTTTCTCAAATGGTTAATGTGCACTCCTTCCTCTTCAATCTCTGTTTAAGATCTTCCTTCCTATTTTACTGTGAAAATTTAACCAATCAGTTGAAAACTTCAAAAATCTCTGTAGTTGAACTCTGTGCTTTGAGAAAAGGCCAACTCCTTTACCTACAGGGCAAGTTACCTTGTGTCTCTTTGATATAAGTAAGGTGATTGCTCACACCTTTTCCCTCTTCAGGTGTATTAAATGTCTTCTCACTTGTCCTGGCCCCCACCCTTTACGGTATCTTTCTTATATAGATAGTGTCTGTTATTGATCCAATTTTTAACAACTTCTTTCTTTAAATTCCATTTGATCTCTAATTACATCCCTGTTTCTTCCCTTCCCTTCATAGAAGACTGTTCGTTAGACCTGTGTACACTCACTGTCCTAGATTATCCCTTGAACTCATTCATGATTTCTTTCTGTTCCTTCTCTGAAACTGAGTCATCAATGGCCTCCACATGGCTGAATCCAACATTCATTCAGTTCCAGTCCTCATCTTACTTGACTCATTCGCAGTATCTGGCACAGTTAATCACTCCCCTCTCCACAAGGCACATGGGCTTCCTAGTTGGAAACATACTATTCGTTTTCCTTCTACTTCATTGGTTGCATCTTATTATTCACTTTTCATCTTCTGCCCTTTTTACGTTGGCATGTTCAGTTCTTGAATCTTTGTTCTATTTATACCAAGTCTTTGGTGATATCCTGGCCCTAAGTGTCAGTGTAGTACAGAGCATTGTAAGTTTTTGCCCCAACTCACTATATTCAGAGCAGGCAGAAATGGTTCTATCAAACTGTAACGCTATGTTACCTCTATATGCAAAACTTTTCTGTCAGTCTGTTCTGTGTTGCTGTTAAAAAATAATAACAACACAGCCTGATTATTTATGATGAATAGAAGTTTCTTGGTTCAGAGTTCAGAAGGTTGGAATATCCAAGATCAAGGGGCTTCATTGGGTGAATAAAAAGAACAACAAGAGAGAGAACAAGAGAGAGGGAGCCCATTGTCAGGAGAGTAAACACATTAGAATACTCCTGGGGATAGACTCTGAAAAGTCCCACCTCTAATACAGTTACTATGGAAAATAAATATTAACATGAGTTTTGGAGGAGACAAACATTCAAACCCCAGCAGCTTCCCATCTCTGAGCAAATGTCCTGACAAAGACCTTTGTGCTGTTATTATTTGTCTCATCTTCCTCTTCTTCTTCAACCCTCCTCCCTTGCCTCCTTAATTCTTCACCTCTGCATTTATTGTCCCTTCTACTTAGAAAACTCTTCCTCTAGGTACCACCTCCTTCAGCTCTTTACTCATATGTCACCTCCGTAATGAGACAACTCCCTCAGCACTATCTAACATATTGCACATTTGACATATTTATTATAGCCAGTTTCCTATGCTAGAACACAAGGACCACAAGGACAGGGTTGTTTGTTTTCTCACAGATGTATTCCCTGGTACCTCTGTAAATGTTTGGTTAAAAAAAATGAATAAATGGGATACATATGAACCAGAGACTGGTGGCTAAATAATATTACTCATGAGGTTCCTTTTAATCATAAAAAATTTTATTCAATGTAGACTGGAGAATTATTCACAGTTCTATTATATTGAAATAAAATTGTTTTAGGCTAGTAATTTGTGATTCTGCAGAGTGATGAGAATTGTACAATTGTTTATATGTTAACATTACCAAATGTTGTTATTTGAAATACTTAGGAAGTTTGGAATTAAGGGATTTGAAAAGAAATTGGAAATTTCTGTGGAATTTAATAGGACAAAAAACAAATAGTAAAGATCTTTATAGCTCAAATTATAAATGAGTATAAGAAAATTTTAAGGGCAGTACCTTAGGCCTGTTCTCATCATGGATTTTCTCAAACTGTTCTGAGAGACTTTGGTATGTCATTTAATTTTTATTTGTGTGATATGATTTGTTATTAAGCTTGCCTAAAAATATAAAATACAATTTGTATCACAAGGATTTTATTTTTAGTGAAATATTAATGTAATTAAGTTTATATTTACATGTTTTTTTTTTCCTGGTGCATGTACATTTGGGTGGGTGTGGTAAGGGTGAAAGGAAGGGAATGATTTGGCTTTAGAATATATACCTTTTTTTGAGGCAAGAGTGATAGTTGAACTATAAATTTCTGGGATTTGAATAGTAATTTCTCATAGAAAATGTACTACCTATACTGGATCCAAATGAGCAGAAAGAAAATGGTTATACTTTATAAAACGAGAGATGAATTTCTTCAATACTATCTAAGCTACTATAAAACCTGAACAAAGAATAAACATCTACTAATAAAGTGTCACTGAGGAGAGGAAGAGAAATAAACATAGATTGAAACAGCAACTAAGCCAATACATTCCAAGACTTTCCAAAAGCTTGCCTAAAAAGATTAGTGAGATTTATTGGGGACAAAGGAGTTGTGGAGCAGATTAAGTATAAATCTTCTGAAAAGAACAATGAGTGAGGGATACTAAATATTTAGGATTCTTTTATTAACTAATAGTTTTGGAGAAAATTTATTTGGTTTACTCATTGATAATAACTAGTATTATCATTGATAATAATGTTGTCATTATTATATTGTGCAAGGATAACAAAATTGATGCTTTTCCCTTTCATCTGCCACTCTTTAAAGAATCTTTATGCTTGGTTCAGCTAGGAGAGTGAGCTATGCCCTCTGATCTTGCAGGAAGGGGTATGCATGAAGAACTGCTAATATCCAGATTATTACTGCCAGATGTTTATGAATACGCAGAACATTATATCCCACAAGGCCCCGGTCTTCTATTTTTAATGCCCTTCTTCTTTTGAATAGTCTAACCACATCCCCCTCACATTTCAGGCAGCTGTTGGGATTTCTGTGCTGCCTTCCTCTTCTTTTCTGAACTGATGTTTTCAACCCTGTCTGAGCTCCCACAGTAACCCTCCTTGTCCTCCATCACTTTATGCTCTAATAGTACATCTTCTCATTTGTATCTCTCTAGACTGAGCTCTTTGAAACATCAACTTGTTCACTTTTGGATTCCTAGAGAGAGGCACAATATCCAAGTCATTGTAGAACACATATCTTCCTTGCACTGTGTGCCTGTCATGGGGCTAAATGGTTTACAATTATTGAGAATATTGAGAAAAAATTCCCATTATTATGCCCATTTTAAGGATAAAGAAACTGAGGTTTGAAGATCTTGAGTGACTTGCTCAAAGTCACTCACATGCAAAGTAACAAAATCAATACTAGATTTAAAGTATTTCAGAAGGTTTTAGGATATTCTTAATCACTTTGCTATATTCAAATGCTTATTGACTGAGTGATTCAATTGTGAGTGAGAGAGAATTTCAACCGTGTACTATATATTCATTAATGATGAATCTCTAAAGTCAAGGTTACCACTTTGCAGGAGTGTATTAAAGTTGTGTGCCTTGTTGTGAATGTTGGGAAGGTTCTTAGTAATGAATGTCATTTACCAAAATAATTTCAATCTATAACCAAGTATGTGGAATGGGGAAGAGGAGATCCTAGTAAAGTTACCTACTGCAGAGTATACAGAAGAAAAATGATTTCTCTTTTGGAATAAAGAAACCAGTTCTAAAGCAATAAGGAACAAAAAAAAATTTTATCTATAAGAATTTGAACTTCAGCTTTCAAATTCTACTTTCTTGGTGGATAAAAAAGAATGAAAGATAAAGCTATATCTCATGTTTTCAAGTCTTATGTTTAATAAAAATCAAATGAAACTCTGCCAAATGGGTGAGTGGGAGTCAGATGTATAATTAAACCACCTTCTGGAATATATGCCACTCGGAGATCAAATGGCTAGCATCAAATTGGTCTTTCCAAATATGATCTATTGCCTCATAGAAGCTATCAATAGTTTTTCACCATGGAAATTGAAAGAAATAGATTTTTTAAGTAAATGTTTTAACTCATTTAAAAATCTAAGCACAAATTTAGAGAAAAGGAAAACTGAATAAAATATTATAAGTCATATATTATATAAGATGTACCTCTTTCTATGTACATTACATGTTAGGTTTCTTTTAGACTTAATACCACGTATGAGCTATTCCTCAGAATAGTTCTTACAATAATGATTTACAATAAACACATGGACATAGTCATGTGATGAATGACATTTTATATGAAAACACTGGATATTTGTGTTTGTCCCTTTATTCCATCTAAGAAAAAAGAGGAGGTCATCAGAGATACGCACAGCCAGCACAGAGCAGATGAAAATTCAGCATCACCTTTAAATACCATTCCATACATTCCACTCTGTTAGGAAGAGGTAAATAACATTTCAATTACAGGGGGAAAAAATGTTTGCAGAAACACTCGCTTCTTCTCCAAAACTCAAAGTAGATACCATCTTATAAGATTATATCTATGATAATTATTACAATTCATTGGATATCCTTAAACAGCTATTCTCAAAATCAATGTACTAAAATACAGTATTTTAAATTCCATACATGTTTGTGGCATTTTTCTATTCAAAATCTTTTAAAAAGAGATGATTTGCTTGAGTGCAACAAATAGTTACTCTTATCAAAGTGACAGGTTGCAATTGATATTTCCTAGTATGGGTAATGAGCAAATGCACTTCTCATGGGCACCACAAGGAAAAAAAAGCCATTCTATTGTCTGAAGTCATATTTGCTTGCTTGAAATTTTCTGTTTTTCTTCATACTTAACAAAGCACAGACATTACTTGGTTCTGAGTCTGATTACCGATCTTTGTTGTTCACTTTTTTTTCTAGACAGTGAAATCAAATGGTATCTGTGCGCCCTGAGTAAAAATAGCCTAACTCAATGGGCGGTACTCACTTAATGAAACAGTAAATGAACCTCCCATATTAAAGGAAAACTCTTTAGGAGTTTATCGTTCCTTGGGAGTGAATGAACTTAGTTCCCATGTTCCTGGGATCAGGGAAACTTTATTGCCCCTTGTTCACTGTGGGCTGCTACCCTCTACCAGTGCTATCACCATAGTAATATAACAAGAGCTTGACCTCCCTTTGAGATTTCAGCTGGGAGAAGGGCTATTTCTCCTGCTTCATGACCAATGCAGGATTACTGCATGCTGAGCACATTTGCTACAGTACTTTCCCTTGAGGTCTGTAATGGTTGAAGAGATCTTCCGGCAGAACTTAATCCTCAATTTGGTCATGAGCTCTTTGGCTGTCTTCAGGTCAATGAGTTATGTTTAAGGGAAATTTCATTTCCTCTATTAAGCAATGGTCATCAGTGTCAGAGGCTTTTCAGGGGTGAGGCGGGGTTCATGTTGCTGTGCTCCTTGAATCTAGCCTGTGGATAAAGGAAAGACAAGAATGCAGTTGAATAATCAGAATGTGGAGCTGAGAATTCATATAGTTCTTCTTTCCATATTAGCCTGATTAGGTCAGCCACTGAACTTAGCTTAAATAAAATGTAAACACTCAGAATGTCTAATGAAAGAAAATACATTTTTTTCTTTAGTGATTGTTTTTATAATCATAACTTTTCTATTTTCTTCAGTAATTTTAATATTCATGTGAAAGTAACTGCAGGATAATATTAAAGAAGTTATTGTGGCAGCATAAGACTTTTGTATCTACTAGAGTGATTTTAGAGGTGTGGCTTATCGTTTGTAGTTGAAAGGGCATATATTGAATGATCATATAAATAATGACTATAGCAATAATAAAAGCAACAATAGAGACTATCAAGAGTTTGGTACACGTATTAACTATACATGGACTATTCTACCCAGTCAACATTGAAAAACCAGGATGCTTGGCACAATGTTTGGAGATGTGAGACAGTTGCAAAAAAGTTAATTCCTTTTGACTTCTGCCAGTTAGTATTAAACTTATGAGGCATGAAATCATCTAATTCTCGATAATAGGTTTTCTACAGAGTTCCCAGTAGAAAACATTTATGCTTGAAACATATGTGCCTAGATCTCACAAACCACAGGCACATTTATTTACAAGGATGCAGGCAGTCTTCTCTCAATGCTTAGAAACAAAATAATTTTTTGGAAAGATAGAGAAAAATGGGTCATAAATTTGCCCATATCTTTTGCAAAGGCCCAACAAATCAACTGAGTTAAGGCCTGAGATATATTACATTTGCATATGTATATATCCAAACTTTTGGCAATTTCGACTTCTCCCCTCTTCTCCACTTTACCCTGGTTTTCTTTCTTTATTTTTTTATTTTTTTGTCCATTGGAATGGTATGTTTTATTTTTGTCATCAAGTGGTGAGGTAAAGAATGCCTGATGATATCAAACTGAGATGAAAAATTATCTCATTTCATATATGAAAGGATCAATTTTAACATATCAAGTTTCCTGAAAGGCAGAGAAGATAAATGTGTGTTGGACACTGAACTGTCACTAACATGTTCTCAATCCTATTTTCACCTGATATTTCAGAGTATAGTCAGAACTTTATGACAAAATTCTAGGCTGATATCATTTAGATTCAAAGGAATATCACTACATTTTAGCTCACATCATGATGTTTTAGAACATGCTGACCACTTAGAGAAATACTCAGTTTCTTTTCTTCCCTCTCTCCCTCCCTCCCTCCCTTCCTTCTTTCCTACCTTTCTTCCTTTCTTTCCTCCCTCTCCTTCTTTCTTTCTCAGATTTTCAAAACACACAATTTTCACCTTCTTTTTTGAAGTCTAATATCTAGTTTTGAAAATCTCCATTATTTTGCAATTTCTACTCTGGGCCTCTGTTTTAGTCTAAATTTCTATTTAATAATTTTTTCTTATTGTATCAGATTTTAGAAGTAGTAAGCATTTAATATCCTATCATAGATCATGATGTGCCTATATATTTCCTTTTTATGTATTATACATTTATGTGTTATATAGATGTACATTATCATATGTAACATATGTATATGAAATTGGAACTATGTTGTAAAGTGACATTGGAGTTATTCATATTTTTCTTTAATATCCTCTATAAAGTAGAGAATCTATCTCTGTAGAACCCTTCCTGTACATTAGAAGCACCCTGAGATATTTTTAAAAAGTAAAAATGATTGTGTATAAATAAATAAATAAATAATCTGCACTTCAGTCTCAGAAATTTTAATTTAATTGATATGGTTTCATACATAGGTATTTTTTTTAAATGTAGTCCACATATTCCTACTTACCAACAAGGAAAAAAAAGAGTTTATACTATAGGAATTCTCTTTTGCCCCAAATCTTTGTATTTGGAAAAAAGTGGGAATTTACTCAAACAATAAACTCTGCCCATCTAGCTCTTCTCCTACTTGATCTGTGACTGTTGGGTTCTTCTGTAACGGATTAGATCACAGTGTTCAATTCTTTACTCTGTCCATATTTAAGAATTATATATCCATCCCCATTTTCAAATGACTTTGCAGAATCTCCATTGTTAGACAAGGAAGAGTGCATACCTCTGACTTTTTGATATGTCCCTTGCTTTGTTTGGCCAGTAAAGCATACGTGGACTTGAGATAAGCAAAGGCTTGAAATATGTCTGTGTAAGGATTCAACTTGACATGACTTCCTCCACCTTGATCCTAAGTGCCATTTTGTCCACCAGGTGAGTGACTTTGGAATGCATTCTAAACCCTACAGGATATAGCAGAGTTAATCCTAACTGCCATTTTGTCCACCAGGTGAGTGACTTTGGAATGCATTCTAAACCCTACAGGATATAGCAGAGTTATTAAGAGTAACATAAAGCTTTTATGTCAGCGCCATCTTTCGTAGACATTTGATCATTTTCACAGATTTTGAGAAAGGCCAGGTAAATTCTGGTTTGAATGCTCACCTTTGTCTGATCTAGCAAATAAACTACCTCCTTCTGCCTTGAGGTGTTGGGATCCTCCTGTCTGGCTGCCCGCCCCCCAAGACACATTTCTTTCCATAAATCTCTGATAATTGCATTTTGTGCAATACTGTATCTATTTGCCTCTTTTTTTTCATTCTCTCATTACCTTCTGCCTTTGTCAATGATTTCTATTCCAGGTCTTTCCAAAACAGCTTGACTTTTCATACTTTTTCCAGGTGCCATGAGAGGAACATTCCTAGTTAGTGGTGTCCTGGGAGAATAAAGAGATATATGGAGGATACCTAAGCTTCATTTTCAAATGGAGCCAAACCTAGCTTGCTCAAAACTCTAAACATATCTGCTCTTGCTGATCTGTAGAACTAATAAGCAAGAAAACTAAGTGGTTTGTTGTAAGCTTTGATAGTTGAAGGTTTTGTTATATAGTACGAATGCAGAAAAATATGAGTAATCCATTTATTGTGCTTTTATTTTTTATTTTTGGTTTATATGACAGAGGTCCTCCTTCTCTACTTCTGTACATTCCTACTTAGGGCCCTTTGTTAGCCTTTCTTCTCATTGTTTAAGTATAAATGTTACTCCATAACTTCATCCTCAGTCTTGTACATTCTTATTTAGTAAATTTTCAAATAATGAGAATCAGGACTGTATTATGTCTTAATTAATATCACCAGAACTTATGGTCTTTATAATTGAATATGCCATCAACATTCAAATTCAACCACACAGAAATTTTACATACTACTTTCTCTCTCCAATTTGCTACTTCTCATGAGTTGCCCATACTGGTTAAGACTGTGACCTATAATTCTAGTTCAATAAGAGAGAGAAAGAGAATAAAATTACTTTAGATTCTTATTTTTTTATTGAATTCATGTAGCTAATTGGTCAATTGACAAACTTTTATAACCATATCCTTAAGACTTATTTTATGAAGAGTTTCCTGGCTACTTCTGTACTCCATAAATTAGAAAGTTTTAACTTTAAAATTTGTTTATATATATATATATATATTTTTTTTTTTTTTTCTCATTGCTTTCTGTGAATTCCCTTTCTTAGGAGTGTGGGGTATTTTTCATGGTTGATAATGGTTGGTTCAGTGATAATAAATGATAGGCTTTCAGCAAATGTTTTTTGAATAAATTATATCAGAAGGTATCAGAAAGTAGGTACATAATTTGCCCTTTTAGAAACTGGCAGTATGACCAAGGACAAATTACTTGGCATTTATTTTAAGTTACCATGTCTATCAGTTGGGAATGTGCTGTACTATTCATCTTCACCCAAGAGTTGTTGAAGGATTAACAAAGAGAGTAATTTAAAACAGAATCAAAGTGCAAGAAAATGACAATGATTTATATTAGATTATAGAACGTGACGCATTGTGTTATTAGGATTCTTTCTGTCTATTGAGATCATCTTGCCAAATGATGACCTAATTATATCTCATTTGCCAGATGGCTAATTGTGGCAAAGAAAAAAGAGAGAAAAAAATTGCATTTATTGTAAATGTTGTGTTTTGATAGGAATTTTCCAGGATTACTAATTATCTTTTAAAATGATAATTTCCACCATGTGGCTTTGGAAACCCGAGTAATTCTGACTTTAAGAAAGATTCTGAAAAACATGGAAAGTGGATGATGATTGAAACAGCATAGTCGCTAGCAAATAATCAATGTAATTTAACTTAAAGAAATGTGTTTTTCTTTACAATGGTGGGTGAAATTTTATTCCAAGGAACAGGAAGATATGATATGACCCATTAGATATCTTCCCAATTTTCTCTTCTATTTTTTACTGTTAACAGAACCTCAGGCTGTAAGATGGAGGTAGTGTATGTCCAAATCCCCCCAAAACACTCCTATCTACCTTGTGAATAAAAAACTATATAATTCTGGTACTATTTCTTTATTCTTCACATGTGGAGTTTGATTTATATCTCTGAATCGAAGGTGGTTCTTGGCTTCCTAAAGGCAGGGCCATATTAAGACTCTTAATGCACTCAGTAACTTACTTTACCTACCTCCCACTCAGCCTGGTGTGATTCAAAACAAAACAAAAATCATCACATATGGTTAAAACAGTTCAACACAATTTTGATATTTATTGTTATAACTAATTTTGAACATTTTATAAAATATAAAATCTTTTAAAAAATTATTTTAGTTCTCTGATTTGCTTGTTCCTTTAGTAAATATCTGACCTGCTTTTGAGTGATTCTTTGATTTCTCTTTATCTGTTTGCTATATTCTTACACTTACTGATGATCATTTATCTCTCTTCAGTCACTTATAAAATAAAAGCAGTACTTTGATTTTAAAATATCTGATAAAGTTTATTTTAAAGGGAATATTCATCTATACAATTATTGTTATTACAAAGAAAATGAAGAACAAACAAAAGAACAAAAACAACTTTAAAATACACGTTTACTGACTCATGCTGTATGCACTGGACTGGTCTTCATATATTTTTACTTTCTGAAAAAGTTAGCAATATTTTATATTATTATATATATGTTGGACTCAGGCAAATGTGTTGGCAATCAAGTCAGAACTTAAAAATACTAATGATCCGTGATGTTCATTTCTTATTCCTCTCACAGTTCAATAAATTAAAAAATAGTGTTTACCATGTTAAACTCATTAGGGTCCAACATTGATCTCATCTGTTCCTTATTATAGTGTTTGCTACCAATCACCTTAATTGTAAAATGAATTGCTTAGTCACATATTTAGTAATGAGTAGAATTGGCCTTCATAACCACTTCTCTATTGTTATCAATCAGCTATTTACATAATCACAGGGGAAACCGTATCATTATTCACTGTGAGACAGAGTAACAAACATCAAATTTAATTGCCCTACTAGGCTCTGGAGTCATAATCTTTATACAACACTTAATGTTTTCATTACTTATCAATTCACTTATAATTATGCTACACTCACAAAAGTTAAGCAGCTAGCAAATAGTAGATCTTTCACTGATGTTTATGCAGAGATAAACAAATAGATGGAAATATGCTGGAGTGAATATATTAACTCAAATAACTATATAGAATGTCAGTTGTTCCAGTTTAGCTTTATTAATATTATTGGAACTGATAGTGTCAGAAGTGCTTACATTTTGTGGATAAAGGTTTCATATATCTTCACTGCCTTTATTTTTCAAATGACTCTTTCCTGAGACTTATTTGTGCTGCCACTTGCTGACTCCTTTTCCTAATAGAGGGATTCTGAAAGAAAAAATAACTATTAACATATTATGTCATTCATTAAGTTATACATTTTTAAAAAAACATTAGACCCTGGGAATGTAAAGATGACTAAGGATAGAAATTATGTCACCCAAAGTCTAAAATCTTACAGATGCCCACATACGTTCTAAATTAGAGTATACACAAAGCTTCTGGAAATTCTCTACTGAAGAGATAAAGAGGGCCTGGGAACATAGACTCCTGAATACTTGGTATTTATAACATTATTTTAAAGAATGCAGTTTGCATCTATTCCAATGGCTTTCAGGTCCTTTTTGTTCACTAAATGTTTTTCAAAAGAAATTTCAATTGGAGGTTGACAGTTAAAACATAAAATGCAAGGGTGTATGCATCTCCATTTTCTTCAGAGATGGCTCTGCCATAGCCTGAGGGTCGTTGGAATCATCTTGAAAACCACTGCTCTTCTCTATCTGTAATAATAATTATTATTAGTAGTAGTAGTAGTAGTAATAGTAGTAGTAGTAGTAGTAGTAATAGTAGTAGTAGTAGTAGTATGCTGGGCATTGAACCCAGAGCCTTGTGCATGTGAGAAAAGCACTCTACAAACTGAGCTATATCCCCAGCCCCTACCTGTAATTATTGTGTATAAAATATTTCTTATAGTTAGCTAGATCACTTAAGTTTTTCTTCTGCTCTCTACCCAAATGCCCCTGGAGGTTGGGCCACATTTTTTTTTCATGGTTTTGTTATCCCATATGTTATGATTGAATATACTCATAGATATGTGCTCTAAATTAGTACTGTGGTTTCATGCAATAAGAACTGTAATGTAGTTAAGGACAAAGGAGTGAAGCAAAGATGATAGATATGAAAGCAGGGTAGGAAGGATTAATGAAGGACATATTGAGAAGGCTTCCCAGAATTACTGATAAACCAACATGTATTTATTAAACATAGTGTGTTGGAGTAAAATGGTGATTAAAATAAGAGATATGGATTATTCTCTCATGAGTCTTATAATATATCAAGGGGAACAAGAGAGAATGGTTATGAATCTTCTGAAATAGATGAAAGGCATGCAGTAATTGGAAATGGGCATGTACTATTGCATGCTAAATTCTTCCTCATGTGGTGAGCATATGAGTGATTTCTTTGTGATAAATCATTAAGCTGTCCATTCTTATTTTATGTGATTTCCTTCGTTTTTTAAATTTCAGGAAACAATTTTTTAAAACTGAGAATAAAATACATCTCAATATGCTCTAAGATTGGAGCTTTGGAAGGAAGCAATACAAACGTATGACATAATTAAACAACTAGAGGAAGTAACATTTGAATTGAACTTTGAAAGAAGAGTAGGAAAAAAGTAAAGCCAATAGAGTGGGGACAATGGAAAGCATTTTAGACTGAAGAGGAAATTGAGCAAAGGCTTAGCAGAAAGGACATTCAACAAGTTGAATAACGACTAGTGTGCTTGGAGAATGAAGTATGAAAAATGATGCAAGTTGAGGCCTGAATGGCACATTATAAAATAGAGATTTGTAGACCAGGTTAATGTTATGAGTGACAGGTAGCTACTGGGAAGTTTTGACTGACAAGGTTTAGGGGGAGTTGACACAATCAAATTTGCAATTGAAAAATTTAACTCTGGTTGCACTGTGGAGAATGAATACAAAGATCATATTCCAGGGGCCCAAGGAGTAAGTTATTAAAAAAGTATAAGTGAAGTACTGTCCTGTGGTAGAAGAAATGGAGATGGTGAGAAATGGGTAGATATGACAAACAGAAGCTTTTGAAACTTGATTGTTTTGTTGGCAGAATAATGCCTGGTTTATTAACAGCTGCTAAATCCATTTTCTTTCAGAGGATTACAAGCTTCAATGAAGAAAATAATAACAATATCATTCAAATTCATTCAATGCATTTCCATCATTAATAAAAACAGTAGGACTGGGATGTAGTTCAGTGATAGAGCTCTTGCTTAACATACCATGCCCCTGTGTTAGATCCTCAGCACCACAAAAATAAATAAATAAGCAAGCAAAGAAACCAATAAGTAAAATAAAATTAACCTGCAAAAACAACAAAAATTAGTACTGTATGTACATATATTGCCTGCTTGGTTCAAATTAGGAAAAAAGTGGAGTCTACTTGCCTATATTAGACAAACCAAATTCTGTCAGTAGATAACCTTTTGGATATTATTTTACCAACATAATTGTACTTAAGTAAACATTTTTTTTTTGCCACAGGACTTTTAATAGTTAAAAATGTACATAGCCTGTACATTGTACTTGTCTGATTCCTTTCTCCTTCCCTTTTGCTTCCTAAGTCAAGAATGTATAGCTTAATATCAAAGGGTCTATTTAATCTATTTAATCAATTGACCATTGTGTTGTACAATGAATAGCCCTACCTACTTTTTAGTTAAATTCCATTTGAATATTCATTACTCAGTGAATACTGAGCTCAGAATGGATTCAGTGGATGTCTTGGATTCAACTCTTTGGGTTCTTCTATCAGCAATATAAGTCAGTCTTCAGTAGAACTGGAATGATTCACTTTTCTCCCCTTTGACTTATTTTTTACTTCTTTTATTATTTATTCTGTACAGTGATCAGTACCTCTGGCAAGATGATTAAAAATTTAAATATCTACAATGTAAATCGTTCAGAGTCATATGGCTTGATTACTATAACTTTTGGAGCCCTGAGGCAACACACATAGGTACAAGTGGAGAAAGGGACAAGTAGCACTGTCAGTTGAATTCATCAGCCTCCTAAAATCAAACCAGCAAAAGTTTTACTACATTCTAACTCTGACCTGCAGATGTGTCTTCACACTATTCTCCTGATCATTTGCATAAAAAGGCTTTTGTTTGTTGCCCAGAGTCAAAAGAACCATACTGAAGTGGTTAGATTAAGGTAATTTAGCACTGCAAATATTCTCCTCCAACAGGAACAGAATCTTGCTGGTTTGATATCCACATTTCACACTATTCTTTGAATTGAAGTTAGCTATTTACTCTTTAGATGTGCATTAATATATGAAGCATTGAACGTTTTATTAAACTCTCTTTCTTTTAAGTTATTGCCGAGTCATTATTGACTATATGAACAAATAGGAAAGGTTAAATAATTCATAAGCAATGCTTTGAGAAATGCATTGTTCAAAAAGAGCAGAACTACTTTTTTTCACTTCATGTAAGGGATTTCTGAATTATATGCCTTAAATAAAATAAAATATTAACAAGAAATACTTTGGGTTACTGAATACTTTTATTCTAAATCCTCTGATATTTCTCTCCAGAGCTACTTAAAGGTTACTTTGACCAATTTGACACCTTTGTTCTAGTTTTCTTAACTATTCTCTCTGAATAGTAGTTTTTCTGGTCAAACTGAAAAATATCTTTTTCACCTTCATTCCTCCTAGTGTACCTAGTTCATATAGAATCTTGATATTTTCCTCTTTGCTCTGTATTCAAGTTATTGTAAGTGCATTTTGAAAAATATTTTGCTGCTTTGGGTGACTGCATACAACATGCCTGATCAAGGCAAAGATTTACTTTTAATAAGAATCATGGATAGCTTGTTCTTTCTTTTCCAATATTGTACACTATCAGAGAAATATATGTTAATATATTGTTCATTATTTGCTGCCCAAAGGTATGTAATCTGTTATGATCTGAACACTTCTTCCCACAGGCTCGTTTAAAATCCACTGCTGTGGATATGAAGAAAATCCAACTCATTTTTCTGTTTAAGACTTTTTATTACTATTATTGCACACTTACTGATCTGCTGTGTTTTGTGCTCATGATTCATTTAGCAAAAGTGCTCTTCAAAGCTGAACATTACAGGCAAGCCTGTTTAAACTCTATTTGTTTAGATTCCAATGTATCCACATATTTGTAATTTAGAGCATAGCATCATATTGCTAGTATACTATGCTATACAATTATTGAAATTTATCAGCCTCATGTAGTTAGTGTTATTATTTGTTTTGTAATTAGGGAATCATGGCTGAAAGTGGTCATTTTCATTCTGGGAATTTTAAACATCATTCATTTGAAATATAAAATTCAATAGTTCATTAAAAATTGTAAAATGTAATTTTATTTATTGTTTAAATTCTATATTAACCATGATGGTAGTTGCATTGCTATAGTTTCTTTTTGCCCTTTATTATCTTTAAATATGCCTAATTACATAATTGTATATGTTTTGTATTTGTATTTTTATAGCCTAATTTTTAAAGAGGTAAATTTACTTAAAGTATATAACCCTCCATCTCCCATCTTTGTTCTTGACTTAAAGGCAGATGACCCAGTCTCGTAAATAAAGCTCACATAATTGGTAAATCATGATATTCAATAAGCTGAAGTAGACTGTAGGAAATGGAACAATGAAACTCTATCTATTTCCCCAAAGTTGTTTTTCTTTTAAATTTCAGTCTTGAATTTAGACAGAATATGCGGCTCTTAAATGGCTCAAATGTTGGTTAAAAAGAGGAAGGGTATAAAACACACATACACACACACAAAATCAGTATTGTCTTTACTACTATAAAACTTTCATAGAAACAGTTCTTTTTCAAATAAGAGTAATATTGAATACTTTGGGTCTGAAATCTCAAATTCAACATTAGTTCCTTGAGCTTCTATTTCAATGGGACAGACAGAATCATCAATAATCATTTTGTTCATTTCTTTAAAACCTATTTACTTATTCATCATATGCTTGCTAACAGCAAGCAACAAGGACAATGACACCTGTACTTTTTCTGATTAGCCACAGAGGTGAAAGGAATATGGAGTGGGAGGAAGGAGTGGTTATAGTGACATGACACATACTTTCTTCAAAGATGAATTTCAGCCAGGGAGTTAGATTTTTGCTTACATGCTCCAATTTCAGTTTTCTTATTTGAGTTAGTGACTGCCTCATGCTCTCAGCCGTACTTTCATTTTTGCCTTTTTTTTTAAAATGGAAGGTTCATGGAAAAAGACACTATATAT